GACAAAGTTTTGCACATTCTCACGTCTTGCTCTCCCCTCTTACAGAGTTGACCTCAGAGGTGGCCCGACTCAATCAGGAGCGCACCAATCTTCAAATTCTCCTCGACTCTAAAGCAGCCGAACTGCTTACCGTCAGTGGTCAACTGGCAGGATTACGCAATCGCCTGCTCGAGGACAACCAGCTTCAGTATCTTGAGCAGGCGAACGGCGAGGCCCGTAGTCCGCCGAAGCCTGGAATGTCTGCAATACAGTCGAAAAGCGGTCCACTCTTGGAATCCGGCTACAGTCTGGCCCGGCGAAATTCCGACGAGGGTCGAAGCGCCTACATACCTAATTTAGCAGGAGGTGGAATCTCCTATCTTCATTTTTAATAATTATTTATCCTTGATATGAGTGAATTCACCCTATTTCATTTAAGGTGATCACCGAGTGACTGGTAGAATTTACATTAATATATATGAAGAAAATGCGGGTTTCGAAGAATCTACTCAGATAAGATTAATGTGAAAACTTTCATTTCGTATAGAAGTACATGATGAAGGAATTCATATTTCAATCTCACCAGAAGACGTCGACTGATTCGCATTGTACTGCACTCATGCGACATTAATACATTCCGGCTGATGCAGTCCACGAGACCTCGAATGTTTCGGGCGTCTTCTTGACTTACTGTTAACTTGAGACGTTTGCAAGAATGAGTTCCTGCTTTGACGATGTTCGTCAGATGACGAACGAAAGCTCAGCCCGTCTTCTCCCGAATCTTTGAAGGATATCTCGTGGACTGCCTTAACCTGAACATCTAATTAAGGCTAAGCAGCTGCAGTACAGCGCGAATCAGCCGACGTCTTTGGTGAGATTTACCTACTTCCATACGAAATGAAAGTCTTCACATTAAAAATTTTAGTTGTAGGTGCTTCGTTCAAAGGGAGTCGAGTCCAAGAGATGCGACTTCTGAGGCAAGATATTCTTTTCGAAGAGATAAGCATTTGTTTACTCCTGTACTTGATTCAATTCAATTGCTGTAATGTACCGATATTTGTCATACTACTCGTGTAAGTAGTAGTGTAATCTTCGATGAATGTTTTATATTGAATCATATTTTTCTGCAAACCTCTAGTCTAAGCGTAGACGTGAAGATCGCTGTCTCCTTTCAATGTGCATAATTGGTCTGATTCCGTTTGCAAAACTTAGTAGTGTTTCCAAGCAGATTTAATTTGACGTGCCTTTTTTGAAATCTGCTGTAGTAGTTAGCATAATTTCCAGCGTCGTAGCTTTGACTTGGTACATTCCCAGACGTTCTACCGGCAACGTCACTGAATCCTGTCATTCTCAGCATCAAGCTAGAATTCACCAAAGAGATAAGTGAAATAAATCCCTTAACCAGCCTCCTGCCGAGCGGTTATGCTATCATTTTTATTTCAGCAAAGAATGTCAATGGTATCCCTACTCTTCCGTTTCCTTGTGTTTTCACTATATGAGGCCCTTCTTTCTGTTGCCTTCAAATTGATCTCGTGTCCAGTCTAATCTTTCTTTATCCATTTTCCTGCATAGCGTTTGCTGTTTCTTAATTCGTGTGCTGACTTCTTTTCCTGTTTCGCCACTATATTTCTGTTTTCAGACTCCGCATGCTATGCAGTAAACTTCAGAGAAATCAAATTTTTTCATCATCATGCCATTTTGGTAGACTTGTGAAGAGTCTTATTTTTTCCTTCCTGGTTGCCTGAATATTCCTTTTTTTTTAGTATTGGCCTTAATTTTTGAGTAAGTTCGCATGAAGCTAGGCATACACACTTTTGTGAGTCTTTCTCCATCATTACCTTTCCTCTATAATCCCCGTCCTGCTATCGGCCATTCACGGCTAGTATGCTTCTTTGTATTACCTCTCTCGGGTATCCGTCGCCTAGGTATATCCGAGTCAAATTTTCCCATTCTGCATTCCAGAATTCCATGTCCGTTAATCGTAGACTTCTGATGCTCATGCTCCTCAGAATTCCCATCTTCAATTTGTATTTGTGTTGATACTTGAAATTGAGTATTATTGCGGCATATGACTTCTCTCTGAACACTCTTCTCTTGAGTGTTCCATTAGTGCAAATTACATCAACATCTAGTAACGATAAACACTCCTTCTCCTTCACTTTTATTGTGAACTTGACTCTTTCTTTAATTCGGTTTATGAACTTACAGAAATCGTCCAATTTTTTTCTTCCATATGATCAAATTGCAAAGTACCGCATAAGAATTTTAGGTTACAGTAGTGACATCTTGAAATTCTTTTCTAATTTGCTTATGTATACATTTGCCAATTAAGGTTGGAGCGGCGATCCAATTGTTAGTGAAAATGTTTGCTCACAGATGCTTCCGTTGAATATGATGTAGGTAGTCGTTATTGTCAAATTGCTTCTGATACTCTGCTTCTATCATATCCTCTTCTCGATCCTAAATTTCTACCGGGGCCGTTCGCACCTTTTATCCAGAAATGTTTGTGTACATTTATTGTACATCAAAACTTACCAACAACTCTGTTTCCTCCAGTGCCATATCTTTGATTCTTTGCAAAATTTCATATTAATGCCTTATTGTATTTGTTAATCTGCTGTTTACCATCTTGTATTTCAGGCATGAACTTTGCTAATTTGTGTGTTGACCCATAGTTTTTGTTGACTATCAGCCTTAAAAGTTCTCATTATTTGGGTAACTTGGTAACTCGCATGATGTTGGTGGTAGTGAATCCTTTTTTATTAGTGAATTTATTGTCCATCCATTTATCTCCTCGTTCCTATATTTTTTTCAGCATGTCATCTAAGGCTTTATTTATCTTCATAGTTGTGTCCTTTGGTACACGATACGTGATCCTGTATTGCAGTATACATTCCATTTTCTCGGTATATTGTTTTCTGTCCATTTCAACTGTCTCTCCTCCTCTGTCTGCCTGAAAAACTAATTATTATTTCCTTTGTAGAGTCCTGTGTATTCTCACAAATATGCTCCTGTTTTAGGGCTCCTTATGTGTCGATATTATTGGAATTGTTTCCATCTTCATTTCCCGTTTCATTCTCTTTTGTAACTTGTCGGCGATATTAGTGACCTCCACCAAAAAGTCTTCTAGAATGGTTTCTGTCGTTTTGAAGAGCAAAGTTTATACCCTTCTTTCGGATCGTAGTGTCTTTGAGATAAAGAGGTACCGAGAATAAATTCTTTACTTTATCCCCCTCGTCGTACTGATCAATATACGCTGCCACCTCAGTAGCCACATTAACTGGGCGCGCTGGCTTTAACCTATGTTGTCTTATAATCCCATATCTAAGGGGATTTTTGCTACGTCTCTTTGTTATTGAGTCAACGTTCCTATCTGATTTCTTATCGGCCATATCCAAGGGTTTTTGAAAGTTCCGTAGTCACAAGCTTAAATACTTTATTTCTTTCCATATCATAAGTTTATCCTAACTTCTGAATGGAGGCCCGGTGAAGAATCTAATTAACTCTAATCCAATAGCAGTGTCTCTTAAAGTGTCTATGGTAACTACTATAGCAGAGAACTTTGGACACGATACGTCCAATTAAGTCCCCCTTACGACACCACCAAGTTGAGTAGGCAGTAGTGTAATTTATCAGTTGGGTCGGTATTCAAGGTGACTAAGGACTGATAGTCTAATTTCCCCACGTTCATGTCAATATACCTTACATTTACAGTGAATTTCACGTAGCCTTTCTATCCAAAATGAATTCTCATCTAGGCCGGACTGGACTGAAATTTCGACCTTGGCTAAATTAGTCTCCTCAGTTTGGTTTCAGTTGAATGAGAATCCACTTTTAGGACACATGATTTGGTGGATTGTAATGGAAAATCGAGCATTCTTTCCTGTTCATCATGGACAGTGTGCTAATGCTACATCTACACACTTCGAATAGTTTGACTTGGCTACTATGTTCTTTGTTACAATAGAA